TTTATGGTTCTCTAATTTTTTAGGTCATACGACGTTGTATTTTAATTGATTTATTTTCAATAGGATTACATCATTTTATCCTCACTTTTTATACACCACTTAGAGAATCATCATGCATAGTAATTTTGTTTTCCTATAGAATTGATTTGTTACTTGGATGTTAAATTAATTTTTTTTTTTTTCATAGATTGGATCTTTTTATAATTCTACAGTCATCTTTCTCGACTTATTCTTATTGATTTTTTTTTTTTTTTTTAAATTTTAAATGATAAAACACTCACGTTTATCGATTCTCATATATACAAACGAATAATATCGAAAATGATAGTTCACTGCTATTATATTTCATATCGTATGTATATAATGCACGGAAATATGATCGAACATAACAAGTAATTGCGACACGAACTAAAGAATAAGAAATACATTTCTTGATCATCATTGAAAATAAAGTTTGTTCAGTTTGTTAAAAAAAGATCAAATTTATCATCGATTATCTCTCTTGAAATTTGTACAAATACAAATAATTCTTAATTTCATTAAAAAAAAAAAAACAACCAAAAATTGATTGGATTGAATCAATCGTGTTTTTAACTAATTTAAACTAAAAACAAAACCAGATACGACATATTTTCAAATTAATGGAGGTAAATGATGGTAATAATTAATTAAAATTCGTCATATATAAATCAACATTTACAAATACAAAAAAGAAAAGAAAAATAATGTTGATGTTCTCGAATATCACTTGATCAAACAACATTCGCGACACGATCGCGAATTTAATTCTTATTTGTTTTATTTTACGTGCGCGCATTAATAAAAAGGATTAAAAAGAAAAAAAAACTACAAAAATAATTATTTTACAGATAAAAAAAAAAAACAAAACAAAATGATTATCAAAGTTCGCATAAAATTAGAATTAAAACTAATACATGATACACGATATATTTCACAGAACACAATTTATTAAGTGCATGTGTACTATCATTACTCATGAGGTAGTAAATTCATCTTGAACCATGGTAAACTGGTTTTTCATTCATAAAACCAGTGGTACGGAGGAAGAAAACATTGACGTTGTCGTCTTTTCTAGGAAATTATTGTAAGTAGTGTCGTAATCTCTTGTCTTACGTACGAAACGAGAATAACTAACTTGTTTCCTAAGCTTTAACTAACATATTTCAAAAATAAGTTTATCCTAAGTTAAATATTGAATAAAAATTATATATTTCTACTTGTACGAATGAATATTACAAAATATTTGAAAATGGAATTAAAACAAAATGTCATTCGTTAGTAATTATAACAATACCATTTTTTCAGAACTTTATTTAAATATAAAAAGAACAAAAAAAAAAAAAATAGAAGAGTAATTTGTTTCTCAATTTGCAAACGTTAAGGAACGTGACTAAAATTTGTTTAGGACTTATTAAAAAGAGTCCTGTTAAAGTAGAATGTATTCCTAAAGAAGAAAAAAAAAAGAAACCCTGTATATCTTTGAATACTAGAACCTAAACGTCAAGTTTTTTTTTTCCTCTCCGATTTTCTCCATAGAACAGGTCTCTAAGGGTAATATTTATCCGACAGAAGAGAAGAGAAGAGAAGAGAAGGGAAAGAATCCCATCATATCCCTTTTAAAAGGGCCACCTATATATTTCGTTAGGATTTTATCCAAAACCTGTGCAGGAATACACTCAAAGTTTCCTCTCAAGAGAAAAGAAAAGAAGTCTTAGTAAAAAGGTAAAAAAAAAAAAAAGGAAAAAGATGAAGAAGAAGATAGAAAAATGCATTAGAAATTTTGACAAGAAGAAAATGTATGATCCGTTTCAAAAAGAACCCTCTAATAACTACCAGTCGTATTCTAACCGATTTTATAGTAAAATTTCAGGTAGATTTTTTAGAATATATAACCAACAAAAAAAAGAAAAAGAAAGAAACCCATCTTCTTCTTACCTTGACAATCTCTCCGACAATCTTCAGGTTGATGATTACGATCGTCTGGATTACAAATGGTCGAACATGGTCTGCATAAAGTATCGACTGCACTACAATATTCTAAACTTGTGCAATACAATGTGCCACATTTTGTGGCATTTAAATTTAAACCAATTACCACTGAACTCAATGTACACAGTCCAAAAATAATTATTGTTGATAAGTGAGACATGATTTTTATTTTTGTATTTTTATTTGTGTCCTTCTTTTTATTAGATACCTTTTTCTTTTCTCTTTAAAGATTCTCTATAATTTGATTTTTTTTTTTTTTATTTAAAAATTACGGTGGTTGGCTAACAATAAGAATGTTAGAATTTCTATGACGATCTTTGAATCGTTCTGTCTCACTATCGATCTTGGTAAAGTCGACACTCGACATTATGGGTCTCGTTTCATGCTCGAACGAGTATTTCTCATGGTCATTTTAGATGTCTTTTAACGGTAACAACAACGGAATCTTTCCAGGAGGGTCCATGGACCTATTGACGGATGCTGGAAAGAAAATGTTCTCATTCGCATGAACGAACTAACGGAACTCGTCTAATATTGATCCAGTCTTAAAAGATTATCATCGGTTGCCATTTATTCAAGGGTTTTTATATGTATTATAATTTTTATATTATTTTCTTTTGAATCAAATAAATTATTAACACTTTAATGGCTGCCCACGTACGTCATCAGGGGCCTGGTAATATTTTTTTCAAGAATTAATTTGAAAAAAAAAAAAAAAAAAAAACTTTATTGTCATTCACGAAAAAATTAACATAAAACAAAAAACAACAAATTTAATTAAATAAAATAACGGCCAATGTTCTGGCTATCATACACGTGTTGTGTGAAAATTGCCATTAAAGTGTTCATTATAAATTTCTATGGTTAAATCATTTTTTAATTAATATTTTTTCAAATGTACTGTAAACTTATTTTTTGTTTTTCTTTTATATATTACAATATATCAATATGTTAATGCAATTAAAGATTTGTTTTTGTTAAAATATGTAATCAATTTAATTCTCGATGATTGTAATTAATTGTTGAATATTTTTTTGTACCATAATTTTCTCATCAATTTTTTTTTTATCATGAACAACGACGATTTATGCAGTTACGTTTAATATATGTGTATATTCATACATATTGTATATTTTATATTATATCAACAACGCTTGAATTAACAAACAGCGTATATTTGTTCATAATTGACACGCGAATGACTCACACTTGAACAACGTCGAAAAAAAAAAGAAAAAAAATCTAACTTTATCTTTATCTTCTCTTTTTTTCTTTTTTCAAATTCCATTACGAAATAAGACGAGAAATTGAACGAGACTAAAGTAATCGATTTTGAATCATCGTTAATCAAGGACAGATATATCGAACAAAAAATCAAATAAGAATATTATTGAAATTAATAAAAAGAAGATTCTGATATTCAATCTTTTTTTGCAAACCAAGATGATCATATCTTTTTACTAAATTATACATACAAAAAAAAAAAAGCATTAATTTGGAGCTAAAAATATTTCATGAATCAATCATTTTAAAAACTATTTTACATTAATAATAAATTAACGAAACAAAAAAAAAAATAATACAATTGGTCATACAAAAACTCGAAATATTTTTTCACATATTTTTCTCTTAGAACATTACAAATAAGTCGAATAAAAAAATTAAAACATTAGCATAAGATTTAAAAAGGTAAAGGTAGATTAAAAATCGATTATTTCTCGTTTAAATTAAACAATTTTAAAATGGGACTGTACACCTAACATGATTGTACATTTCCAACGGTATAAATGTAGCCATACACACGTGTAAAGAGTGTCGTTTAAATACACATACACGTATATACATATGTATATACGTGTTATGCGTCCAACGACGAAAACGTAAATTCATCAGAAACGAAGGACGAAAATTAAAAGAATTAAACGGAAGTTGAGTTTCCAACAGATCTCGTATGATTGGCATGAATGATTATAGCATGAGCGTGCAAGTGTAGTGGTAGTACACGTATCGATTACGCAACGATTCGTAATTTTGTGTTTAAGTTACGATAAGAATTATTCCTTTTTTTTTTTTTGGGGGAATTTATTTTTTACCAAACGAATTTTCGACGATGTTTAAAAAAAAAAACTTGCAAATCGACCTATCGTTTTGTTTGGATTTTTTTTCTTTTTTATGACAGGAAATTCCGTATAATTTAGATGGAAGATAACATTGTATCTTTCTTGTATACGATATAAGAGAGAAAAAGAAACTAATTGTAAGAAAATAAGCTCATTTACAAGGAATAGAATGTGATGTGTGAACGGAACACGGTGTAACTCGTGCAAAACCGTGTTTCAAATGAGAATGATAACAAAAAACTCGTTCATTATCTATCAGACCGTTTCTACGTTTAACCGAGACAAAGCACCAGACATGTGGTAAACGGGAACGACGATGTTAGTGACGCTCGTGTAATATCGAAAATTAATCTTCCATTTTTTTTCTACGACTTTATGTGTTATCATTGACGTACGGAATTCTCTTAACGACGAATTGTTCTTCTAATTTCATTTATTTTTAAACAACTATCAAAATACTTTTTTCAATAGATTATTTATTGATTAAATTCATTCTATAGATTTTATTATAACAAAGTCAACAAGAATTTATTATACTCATTGAAGAAAAATTGTTTAACACGTCAGCCATCGGTGACTGACACTAGACATTCCATTTAAGCCGTGTCAATCATCAGTGACTGACACATTTAACTATTTTGCAATACAAAGTAAAAAAAGTCTGTGGTCTGACGGGAATTTCCCTAAGAATTCGCGTGACGTTCAATGTCGTATAATAATTTCAACTATTTAAAAATATATTTCAATTAAATTATAATAATATTACAAAATATGAAAATATTTGTGAAATATACAATACTCAATTAGATTTTGATTAGGTTATATTAGTTAGTTAGCATACTCGCGTTACGTCGTACTACCATTGTCAAGAAGTTGGAATGTGTGTTTTGTACCTGGCACCACGAGATGTAACGGTGTGCAACGTGCACGTTAGCACGAGTACAACGTGCACACGTTCGACATATATATATATGTAGAGAGAATAAAAAGAAAAAAAAAAAAAAAGAAAAAATATCTATAGTTATCGTTAGGAACTCAACTCTCTAATGACCGGAAACCGAGTATGCGTGCTCGTGCACGCGAGTATCGTCCGGCCATTCGTTCTGTCTGTTTCTACACACATTTATCCTATGTATCTTTATTTTCTATCTTTGTTAACGTTCTATGTATGTTTGTGTAAAGTTAGAATACGTCTGAGAAAAACCACGATGTGATTTTTCTCATTCTCCTATTATTATTTTTTTTTTTCCTTTTATACACGGATATTCCTTCAGATCTTAGTAAAATCATTTGCGAAATGATAGCAAAATGATGTAATTGGTTTATGATTTTTGTTGGATATTCAAACGATATTATTTCTAAATTTTTTTTTGTTTTTTTGTTTTGAAATGATCTTCAAACAATTTTCTAAACAATTTACTTTTGAATGATTCTGATGGTTTGCGATCAAATCTTCAAGTTAATTTTATTACATCGTTTTTTTTTTAATCTTCATTTTACGAAAATAATCGAATAAATTCAATGTTTTTCTTTGTCTTGAATATATTATCAAAGAAATAAATAATACGTTTTAATTTATTCGATATTATTTTCAAATGATATTGAACTAAACGAAATCTTTTTGAATTTGATCGTCTGTTCCGATTTGCAGTTCAAGAAACAAGTTTGTTCGATATCGAAAGGAGGAGATTGGTTTGAAGTCAGAAGGCGTAGGTAGGCGCACGAGCGGTGAAACGCCAAAGGAATGTTGTCCAACTGGTTTCGAACGTTTTGTAAGTTCGAGAGAGAAAATTGAAGAAGAAGAAGAAGAAGAAGAAGAAGAAGAAGAAGAACTAGCAAGAAGAAGAGTTTGTTACGTAGGGTACCGTGTTGCTATTCATCTACGTAAATAACTATTTTTATATATATATATATGCATATATAAACATATTAAAACATTTCTAGTTAAATGTCACGAGTTTTTAAATTATTACCAACAAAATTCATAAAACAATTATATAGTTTTACTTGTAATTTCTATTTAATTACGTATGTGAATAAATGACGTTTAAAAAAAAAAAAAAATTGTTTAATCGTACATTTTACTTAGTTGACGTTATCGATTGACTCACACGTTAATTAACAATAAATTATTTGTTTGTCATAGTAAAATAATTGATTGTTCTTTACTTATTGTAATAAAATAATTCGAATGATTTATTGACTATCAAAATTAATAAAAAGAAAATAATATAAAAAAATAATCAATTATTTAAATATAATTAAATATTTCTATGCACATAATCCCCTTAACATATGGCAACCGAGAATTTTCTTTCTTTCTCTCTCTCTCTCTCTCTCTCTGTCTGTCTCTTTTTCTTTCCACCTATTTCAAAAGAATCTATAGTGTGTACAATCCGGATGACATCGTCTTGTAGAAAGTTGCGTTCCATTAGTATAGTCCGGTCACCCACGCGTTATTTTACGTGTGCTTTCGCCGTGAAAAAAAATGGCGCGCTTTTTAAAACTATCAAACAATGTCCTTGAATGCAAAATAATCCTTTCCAACTTATTCCCCAATTTTTTCAATCACCATAATTACGCGAATATACTAGTATCGATTAAACAAATAAAAAATAAAAGGTGTAACAAATGGATTAGTTTGCACATTAAAGTTCAAAGTTCAACGTCAGCCAAAAGGGAGACACATTGCTAGATTAAATGAAGTGAAAGAGTGTGAGAGAGAAAGAGAGATAGATAGTAGAAGTGCTGCTTGATCCACGCATCGAAATCTTCGAGAATCGTACTTTTTTTTATCAACATGGCGGATCATTGATTCCCAACACAGACAATTTCCATTTCACAATATATTATTTCGATTTTAAATATAAATATAAAAAAAAAAAACAAAACGTTTTCTTATTTCTTATTCGTAGATCACATTATTTAATTTAATATGATAAATTACAATAATACTTACTAATATAATATAAATAAACAAATGTTATTTTTTATTTATATATATATATCCTTTTATAAAGGAATTTTATACATAATCACGATCACGACCACACACTGGTGCACAATGATAAAAATTAAATAAAAAATAGACTAATGAGAATTATCAAAAATGTCAAATTAATAAATTGAAAAGAAAAAAAAATAGGTGAATGCACACGTTAATTTTGAAAAACACGACAAACGAAGAAGACTATTTTTCAAGACACCTGCTACGATATCGACTTCCTGCGCTCGACTGTCGATCGTAAAGAGGAGAACCTAATGGCAAGTCCTCGAGTTCTTCGATCCCCACCTCGGAAAGTCAGCTCGACCACAACACTTCTCTCTCTCTCTCTCTCTCTCTCTTTTTCTACGACCAGTTGTTTGTTCCCCGGTGTGCAGAAGAGCACCTGTCCCCTACCACCAACAGCCCTACTCATTTCTTTCTTCTTCCCTCACTCTATAATTCTCTCTCTCTCTCTCTCTTTCTTTCGTTTTAGCCTAATCACCCCCACCATGTTACACGCTCGTTACTTGACGTTTACCTGTTGCCAACCTGCGCGCGCAAGTTCGCGGTTTTCCACGTTTCTTTTAACTCATTTACGAACGAGTTGTTGTTTCAATAGTTTTTGCTAATTTTTAGTTATTATACGATAAGTGAATTTGTAGTTACACAGTTTTTTTTTTATTACTTTATGGTTAATTGTTAATATTTTGATTGATAATCAAATAAAATATTATGTACTATACCATTAAAGATGCGACGAAATAGAAAATCAAAGGTAGATCTGTTGAAAGTGTAGAGCTGAAACAGATACTAAATAACATTCAACAATTTGCTAATAAAAATATTCAAAATAATTATATTTTATATTTGTGTGTGCCTTCAGAAATGCATTTATACATATATTTTCAAAAAGTAGTCATTTAAGGCGTTCCAATAGAAGAAAGTGCCAAAGGTTTGTTGTTAAATCCAACGATGATCACCTGTAACAAGAAGAAAACTATATTAATCATACAGTCAAGTGATACAGTAATAGCCTGACATATAAATCGTCCAATTCGTAGATGCACTTTTCAAATTGAATTCTCTATGGATTTTAATCTAATTTCTATTTAAAATTGCAATAAAATGGAATTTAAACGCGTGATTTTACATTTGCAAAAAATAAAACAAAAATAAAAAAGTAAAAGTACAAATATTAAGTTACTAGAGAAAATAATATCTATTAATTATTATAACTAATACTTTTAAACTGCATTATATAGAAAAGAAAAAATTACAAATTTAATCAAATGCGATCAAAGTGAAAAATCTTAAAGACAAAAAAAAAGAGAGATTACTTTAATATTAAAAAAACGATAATTAGGTTTCAAAATGTAATAAAAAGGAAATTTAAATATTTTGACTCGAACTAACTAAACACATATGCATCTTTTAGACGATATAGACACGCATTTGGTGTCCCAAGGAGATGGAATGATCCATCATCTCCAATTACAACTAGAAATTAATGACGAGCAAAAAAGTAAAACAATAAAATATAAAA